GGTACGATTGGCTGTGGAAACGCAAGCAAGTTCAGGGTTTACCGTACTGAACCAAACTGTACTGAACCAAACCGGACTGCTTAGTGGAAACGGGGCTTTTTTTGGGTCAAGTTTGATATTTTGTTAATGCCAGTGTTAAGTACTCATTTCCTGTTTTTGTGCTGCACACTGCATGGAGTGTATACTCTGTGCATGTCATCAAACGGCTGTATTACATTTCCTGTTCTCCAGTATGTTGTTCTACGTTCTTTTCTTGATAGTGTGTTTCCGCTAAGCGTAGCAAGGCAAATATTCTCACTCTCAGTGCTTCGTCTTCTACTTCCACGTCTTTTTTTAAATGAAGTCTAACAGGGATAGTCTCTCGCTGTGAGGTGCATATAACGTGAACAGCCAGGTCAGGAGAATATCCGGAGCAGTCCTCCTGATATTATCTAGGTATTTTCAGTAGTACATATCTGAAAATGGCTTTAGTGTACCTTCCCTCTTGTTGTCAGTTTATTGGCAGGATTTTCCCGTGTTAATGTTTTGAAGTTTCCTTGTGGCTCTTGGTTTTCTACTTTTGGATTTTGAAAAGTAAGCCAGGTATCACCTGTTTGTTTCAATTAGTAGTTAAGTTTTTGTTATCTGCACTTTGGTCCTCCTCAAGACACTTTGAGGTCCTTGGCATGGATGACATCTGATGGAAATAAATGAGATACATCTGTCCTGAAAGGTTCTTGATTTAGTCATTTGTCGTGCTTGTATGGACTGCATGTTTGGGGTATTTCAGCAGAACATAAAGTCAACTAAAGAGAACAAGCCTTACTCTGATACATGTTTAGAACCTAGCTTCATATTACAGCCACTGTTCAGGATGACCTTCACTTTCCTTTCATTGATTTTTTTCCCACAATTACGGAGTGTGTTAGGCTGATGTGTGGAAATTCAGCGTTCCAGTGTTTTGTACATTTATTATGTATTAGATTGTGAAGGTGATTTAAATGTGCATAATTTTCCATATTGTTTGGCACCTAAATAAAACAGATGGAGACCTTGAGTGTTTTTTTCTCACATGGAAATGAAGCCGATGTTTAACCTTAACATTAGTTATAAACTCTGAATAAAGAAAAGGGGAAAATCTCTTACTCTTCAAGCCACAAGTGCAATTATTTAATGTTGTTAGTAGCAGTAGGAAGGAGTAGTAGGAATTTGTGGCCTCCCACTTCACTTGAATTGCAAACTGGTTTTAAAAATGTGCTACATATTGAAAATATGGCATCTCAAAGAATACTGCATAGTACGTCATGATGAGGTCTTTTAAGAGTGTCTTGGCTTATTTGGGTATTCAGCTATTTTCCAGCTCGAGTAATTGGCTGAATAAATGGAGCAGGGAAGGCCGAGGCTGCTTGAGCACAATGCACATGAAGGCAGCCTAACCATGGCTTTGTGAACAGGTGAACTCAGATTGTTTCCTGAAGCATGTATTTGCTTTATGAGAGTGGACATCCAAACAAAATGTGGTGATGTCTTTTTAAGTATGCTAGCGCTTTAATTTCACGTTTGAATCTTAGTCCATGAAATATCTTCATACGGAGAACTTCCGAATAAAGTCAAAGTACTTTGGATTCATCCTGAATGAGGCTGTCAATGTAACGTGGTACAGCTCAGTCAGCATAAATAGAAGGCGTGAGAGACATGCACGCAACCAGACCACACAAAGTCAGCGCGTGTCTCCTGAGTTGCAAAGAAAAGTCTCCAGAACTAAGATGCACTTCTTTAGGTCAGACATAAAATGCTGAGATGACAACTTCAAGCCCATTAGTGTCCTTGTCTGTTCTCGTCACGTCAACCGCTACCGTCATTTACTAGATTCACTTCCTTCCTTTTATGCAGCTGCTCTACATACAACAGGTTATTGAATGTCGGGGCTTTTCAAACTCTAAATCTTTGAGCCACTGTTTGCATTGTACCCAAAGATCTACAGAAGACTGATCAGCTGATTGGACAGTTTTCTTTCCTTGAGGACTTTTGGAAAATGTTTGGCATATCTTTCTTTCCCAGATTTGACTGAGTTAGGATTTAGAAGAATTAGCTGAAGTAGATTAATAACCTCACAAAGTTTACTGAACTGCTGTCAGCTGTCAAAACTGCTGACTGGGTTTGAAAGTCAACCAAATGAGCGGGCGACACAATAACACCCAACTTCCCATGGTGCACCTGGACCTTTCACCTCACACTCAAAGTTGGAACATGGTGTAAAATGTTAAAACAACGAGAATATGAAGACTTGCAAAACATTCAAATCCCGTTTGATTTGTTTGAAAATTGCACAAAGACAAATATTGATTGTAAAAACTGACATTTCATTGTTTATGGAAAAGTATATACATACACACATGTGTAGCATTCATTTCAAGCTCCAGTTCTTTCCTGAAGCCTTGAATTCTACTTTCTATTACAGCAGTTTTTACTGCTGATGAATGTGCTCTCACCGCTGTAAAGATCCTCTAACCTTTGAGTCTATCATTTTCTTTGATCACAGTGTAGATTGATAAACCTAAAGATAAGGAATCATTGGAGGAGATATGTGGTATTTCATTCCTCCCCGATTGGCTCAGTACATCCATTCAAATGATGGTACAGGCTTTCAGATCACTTCTTATGATATACTGTGAAAAGTCTTTTTCTGCATCTTTTCAAAAACATCAACCCTCGTCTAGACGTGTACGACAGTGATTCTGAAATATTAACAGCCAGACATTTGGAACATCTGACAAAGCTCCAGCCTTCAGTCTCCTCTTAATGGCTGCCTAAAATGTCACATCTTTCATGTTTGTCATGAACATGTCAAACATGCCTCGGCTGAACTGCATCTCCCAAGCTGACTAAAGATCTCTGAGTAAAAAAGAGCAATCACATTAAAACAAACAGTGTCCTTACCCAGTGGCTCTGATATCTGTCCCAACATCTTTGAGATTGACAGGGACATGCAGTGCAGTAAGACGTCCCGTCCTGTAGCTCTGCTTGTTGGTTGTCTGTACTCCTGAAGAGCACATTGACATCAAATACCTGTTATGATATTATATAAGTTCTTTCTCAATACACAGTGTTTGATGGGATATGAAGATACACCATACACAATATGATTATGAAAAGACCAGACATTACACGATGCAATATGCTGGAGTGATGGAGCGGATCTTAAATCTCACCGTTCAGAACGCATCATAGATTTTGGTCACACATCTGCCTACAGGCATGACTCAAATGCTGCCTTCTGTTCACTGTGAGGCTGCAGCATCAGCACATTTATCTTACAAAATGATGACAAATCACAAATCGCATGCGGCCAGAATCGTTGGGGGTTGATTTGCATCACGAATGCGAACGACAGGTAACTTTGTCTTTCTGAGGGTGATTTGCTGTTGGTTTGATGTCTGTTTGGGCGTAATGTTGATTAGTGATGGGATATATGATGGGGAATCTGTAGTTTTAATTTGATATTGACTGAGTGCTTTATGAGGTCCCTTGTCTGACTTCCTGTCCAGGTGGATCTGCTCTTTTTACCTTGACACATACTTGCATCCAAAAAATGACGCTAGCCGGAGATGAACCTTTGTGCGTGCTGTTGTGAGCATGCCCAAACTTTGACACTTTTTGAGTGAGGAAAGTTGAAGTTTGAGCCGGACATCCTCACCAGAACAAGTGACTGACGGCAAAGAAAGTGCGAAGCATGATTTAAGAACATGGAAATCGGTGGTTCATGAAAGCTTAGGACCATTTGATGGCAAGGTGAGGAAGTGGAAAGATTGAAAAACATAGGACTTCTTTAAAGAAATTAATAGTTGAGGTTTCTCAGGACTATATGATCCTCTAGCTTGTCATTTTTCTTTTTTACTGATTCCATGTTCCGTCTCTTCCTGAAGACATTCGCATGCTCGTCCTTGCTTGTACACCTAAAAAGTTACAGAAAAGAGAAACCCTCACTATCTCATCCCCACGTCTCCCAAACTGTTGCTTGTTGTGGGATTGAATGTCAAATTGAGGGTTTTGAAAATTGCCGGATTCAGCCTCGACCATTCTGACACCTGAATGGTGTCGGGAGTTTCGGTCGTTTGAAGATTGACGGCTCTTCTATTGGAATACTCTGGAGCCTTTATATCCATCTGCACCATGGGCTGTTTTGTCGCGATCAAGCACTTCAGTCCATTCAATCCACTCTCGCTTCTTGACCATATGTGTGTAACTTCTTGTTGGTAATAGCAGTTCAGAAAACCTTTTAGACCATGTGTGTATTTGGAATGGAGCATGAAGTTCAACTTTTCAGCTCACTTCTGACATTCTTGCTTTTTGTTTACTTCACTTTTCCACTTGCCTGGTAGGCGGGGAGCCTTGCCTACGTACATTGGTCGATTTCAAGATCAATTTCTGCTTCTTTTATTTACAGGAATCAAGTCTGATTTTCTTGTTGTCGTGTTGTTCAAAATTGAATTCTCGAAAAAAAGCCGCTCTACTCTCTCTTTTGTCTATTTGTGTTTCTTGTTTTTTTTCCACTGTGAAAATGGAACCCCGGCACTCCCTATTTTTCTCCTTCTCTTTGTTGTAATAGGCTCATCTCTCCTTCTCTCTCTGCTCCCTCTATCTATCGTGAGTCTGAATAAAGCAGGTAATGGGCCATGGAAATGGTGCCAGCACAGTCATGCCTATAAACACACTCTTTCCCTCTGAAAACACACATTTACAAGGATGAGAGGACGTCTTTTTGTCACCCATCTCATTTAGTTATTGTCAGAGACTGTAAGAGCAACCCCCAAAAAATATGTGATCAACAAAAGAAGTAGAAAAAAAAGTTTGTATTTTTTGCTTGTAGAATACTTGATGACTAAGTTCTGACTTTGTTGCCTTTTATAACTTTATTGAATAATCAGACAAGCTTACTTTCAGTTTATCTAAGGTGAATCAAGGAAACGCTGTTACTGTTGATGTTTGTGATTCTAATGACGTGTCCTACCTGCCCTCAGGTGTACATCCGTATCCTGGACAACGAGTGGAACGTGTACAGGCGTTACACCGAGTTCAGGGAGCTCCACAATCACCTGAGAATCCACTTCCCACAGGTGGACACCTTCAACTTCCCACCCAAGAAAGCCATAGGGAACAAGGTGAGCTTCAAGCTACCATTATTCTCTTTGCTTCTTCTTTCCCTTTTGCTCTTTTCACTTGATGTACGGCTAACAAACTTTAAAACACTTGCTCCTACTGGACCAGATAAGCACAACAGTTGCTGTTAGCCATCGCTTACCCTCGTTCCCCCTCATCTCATAATCCCTGTAGATCAGTGCTGTCAACCTTTCAGATTTCTAATGGCCCTTAAAGTAGTTTACAACATTACGGGTAGAACATCAATCTTTTAAAATACTTGATACATCTTTATTTTAGTTTCAGACTGTATTACTCAAGCAGAGTTATCATTTCTATCCATCAACGGGGAACCTTCACAGTGGACTATTAATAGAATATCTTTATTTGTCATCATTGTACAAAGAAAATTGGTCACTGCAAAATCCTTCATGAAGTGACAGTTTCCGTAAAGTGCCTGTTATAAAAGAGCTTCTTAAATAATGTTTAAAAAAAATTGAGATTTCAGTTGCCCACAGATTTCAATTAGCTGTAGCTTCCAAGCCCAGATGTGTTATTGATAGTTATGGTTGTCTGTCTCTGTGTGGACAATCACTCTTCACTCCAGGGAGAGGGGACGTTTTCAAATTTTACATACTTTAATTAATATATATATATATATATATATTAATCAAATTAATGGAAATTCTGGTTTTACTCTCTGTTATTGAGAGACATTTTTATCTGTTCTTCCTACTGATTTTTGGTGTTATGAGCAACTTTAACAAACAAATTTCCCCCAAGGATTAATAAAGTATTTCTGATTCTGATTCTGATTCTGGCATGCTTCTCACACACTTGCACAAACTGGACCTGTGGACATGCATTAATGAAGAGATGTCAGAATGGCTTGCTACGCAGGGAGCAAACCAGAGCGGCTGCCTTCATAAAAAGTGACCTGGCACATCTCCTGCTACCAGATAAACTTCCATATTATGGTCCACACTGGGATTTGAACTGTTGACCCTCCGGTTTCCAACCCAAGTCCCTTCAGACTGAGCTGCTACAGCCAGACTAATAAAAGATTCTGTCCCAACCCATCTTTAACCAGTCGTAAAAATGTATATGAGCCAATGAAAATGTACCTTTAGGTTGTAAAATGTTAAACCCTGTAGCAAATGAGGCATGATGAGGTTACATAGCTCGAGGTTAGTTGAGTTAGTTGCCAGCACCTCGTCTTTCTCCATCTTTTTACTCTTATAAAACATGCACACTCACTCTGAATGTAAAGAGAACAATGGCCTCTCCAGATCTCTGTTTCTCACTTACTCTTCCAGTTATAAAGGCAGTGCTCCTCTATGTCTCTCCTCATTCTCCTCTGCTTTTCATCCTGTTCTCCTCTGTCCCACTCCAACCTTTGGGAGATAATTTGGTTCTGACCCCGATTCTCTGGTTGGTGGGATTTGACTCTACCACAGCCAAAAGCTCCGGTCGGACTCCCCACCTTCAAAGACACTGCACTTTCACAGCTATAGAAGCTGGACTCAACGATGAGTTGCATGGCCTGAAAATGGGAGAAAAGCTTGAGTGTGCATGTACAGTATGTGAGTGTTTGTGTGTGTCTGAGTGTGGGTCTGTATGACTGTGTGGTAACATGTGAAAAAGCAGCTGTTTATAAAAGGCCTCGACCAGCATAGACTGTGTCATAGTGTCTGCAAAAGCTGTCTGGAAGCCCATTACACTGCTGGTTTGTGTGAATGATTGGTTTTCACCATCTCCAGCAGGTCAGCCATAACTGTATGGAGAGCAGTGTTAAGCTTCAACACCACTGCTGGAAGAACCAACTCACTCGATGCTCAATGCACTCTTAGTGTAAAAACTTTAAGTAAACATAACACCAAACTTGTTCTTGCCTGGGCAGAAGTGTTTTGAGTTTTGCCTCAATGCATTGATGTGAAGTCTAGTCAATACACCAATGTTGAAACTGCTGGAAACTTGGTTTCACCATGGAGACCAGCTTTCCTGTTAACCCATTTGTGTTCCAGTTCATTACTCAAAAACCTAAAATGATGTAGAAAGTGCCAAAAGAAAACTCATCTCTGCCTTGTTTTCTCCTTTACTAACCAGGTGCCAATTTGACAAAGATGTTTTTCCGAACACTTGATATATATTTATGATGAAAACTCTGGCAACTCTCTTCACAAGTGGTCTTTGCCTACATTTTTTGTGAAGCTCCATCAACATTCCTGCAATGTTCTTAAGTATGGCCTGTTTAGTCATTAGTGTGACTTATCCTTTAGACAATGATGACTTTACCTTGAGAAGCAAATAGTTGCTCGCATGCTGCATATTTATTGAGTCCAAGCTGAGAGTCTTGGACCTTTAAGATCTCTATTTTTATATTTGTTTGTACTATTTTGTGTTGTTTGTTTGTTTTCTACCAAACCCTGTTTGAATCTGTTGTTCATGATGAAACTCTCCACTCGGACTGTCTTCTGAATGTAGATAGTTTGTACATCAGGAGTTAGAAATATCTGTTGATATGTCTATGTCCCAAAATGTCAGACTAAATCTTTCTAGTTTAAAGCACCTGTGATGAGGTATTAGCTGGATATGAAGGACGGAAATTAGTATCAATGCCTTTTTATGACCTTCAAAAGCAAAGAAGGCTATCAGGTTCAAGACTGGTTGGTTGTGTCGAATAGGTTAAATGCTTTGAAGCAGTGACAGAGGGCAGCTGTAACAGAATGCTGCTGAGTGTTTATTGGCATTTTCCACAATTTTCTTCGTACAGTGAGTGATGCGATTAACAGCAGGAGATTTTTTCAGAAAAAACGACTTATGCATGCTCCAGGATAGGATCAGCTTAGAAATGAGAGGTACCGCTTTGTCCACAGATGGCGCCAAAATCAATGCAGAATCAATTACAGGAGCTTTAATTACTTACCCACTTGTTCTCTGACAGTTTAACAGTTCAACATTGTTACCTAAAGTTTTTTTATTTATTTAACCATGTTGTTGTGGTTGTTCCCATTGAGAATAAGAACCTCTTTTTAAATGGAGACCTGGGCAAGACAGTCAGAAGCACAAAGTTACTGACAGAGACAGTTTAAAACGTAAATGGATATAATGTAATCGTTCATCACATAAAACTTTTTGATTAAAATTTAAATGTAATGTATTTATTTTTCTGAGGAAAACATGGTATCATATGAACTCATATCAAAATGGCATGTTGGACCGAAAGTGGCAGAAAAGTTAATAACGCTGCTATAATGAGTCTTTCTGCTTCCTTATTAAGATTTCCTGAGGTTAGAAAAATCTGAAATGTTGGCACAGAGGTCTGGTCAACTCACAAACTTCCACTAAGAATGAAGGAGAACTTTCCTGAAGGTGATGCTGTTTTAACCACGTCACGATCAACATTTTGTAGAATTAATTAAACATCAGCCATGCATGGTACGGCTTTACCAATTTCATCAGCGCATATTTTCAGTTGGAGAATATTCTCTACCCCTAAAGCTAATGGAAAATATGAAGTCCTCCGAGCTGTAAAATTAATTAAATTCAACTATTTGGTCAGATTTCAATAACTAGCTTCTCCAGCAACAGAAGTTTTGAGAAACTTACCAACAGAAAAAACAGAACCGCAGGCCTTCTGAGCCAGACTGAAATGAAATGAGGCAGCAGGTGGAAGGCTTTGTAGCTTAAAGATCTGATGAGCAGCAGATTGGTGAAGTATCTGTGTGAATGTTTAATGTGTGTGTGCATTCATAACATGCATTTCTCTGCCTTTAGAAGCTGCGCAGTATAAAAGTGGATGTAAACCTTGTGTTTGTCAGAGAGAGAAGATGCTGAAGTGTGTCTGTGTGTATACCTCAGAAGTGAGTCTCTGCAGCATGGAGTGTGTATTTTGTTTATTCTGGTGTGTGTATAGTGATTGTGTAGTTTTCTCAGAAATCGGCAGAGTTTGCCTGTATTTTCGATCCAGTCAGTATTTGTTTCTGGCTATCTACGACTCCAGTCCAATCCAGCTTAATTTAGAGAGCCCATTTTATAAAACAGAAGTGTTTACCAAAGTGCTTTTCAGTCCATAGAATACGGTGGTTACACATAAATAAATGAAATAAGAAAAAAAGGATCAAATAGAAAAAAAACATAAAGAGAGGGTAAAACAGTAAGAGACAGAAGGACCCACCAATCTCATTCCGAAAAAAGCCAAGGTGTAAAAATGAGTTTTAAGACCAGATTTAAAAACAAGCAGTGTGGGGGACAGCCTGACATGGGCTGGGGGGCAGCTCACTCCACAGTGAAGGAGCTATAGCTGAAAAATCACATTCAGAGGAAAAATCCTCTGGTATGCAGCCTTGTCTTTGGAATAGCTTAAATATCAAGTAAAGGGATACGTTTAAAAAAAATGTACCCCTGTGCTTTTTTTTATTACAAGAAAGAAATTAGCTTTTCAGACCATATCTGTTTTTGTACCAGGCTGACATGTTTATTTCAATCCGGGCTTTTTAAAATGGGACTAAATGGAGGTGCCTTGGCTTTTGCAGCCAGCCTCAAGTGGACACTTGGGAAACTGCCAACTTAACTTGGGTATGAAGCATATATTTAAACCTGCGATGTTACAGATGTAACGTCACATTTGTAACTCATGCATGACATTTAAATAACCAGCTAACTTAGTTAGAGTAAAATCAGAATCTTTCTTCTAATCCCTACAAAGTAGTTCTCCAAGCATAAAATTAATCGTCCTGCGAGCATTTCACAATGGGGTCATGTTGGAAGGTTGAAACCCACAACCGTTTTGGTTGTTTTTTGGTTGTAGGTCATGTTAGAGGTAAAAGTTGGAGTTCAAGTGAATTTAAATTAAACCCATTCGTCCATAGCACAATGCCTACTCTCATACATACAGGTCAAGCTGGTTGTTGCAGTTTGGATTTCTTTGTTTTTCATATAATAAAGGGTAACAGCTCTATTACACTCATGTATACTTACTAGCAGTGTTCATGGGATATTTAATACATTACAAGGAACTTAA